CGCCCGCCTCCGGCTTCGTGACCGCCCTCGACCGGAGCCTCATGGGCGTCGACCTCGGGAAGGAGAAGCTCAGCCACTTCCGCTTCTACTGGCACGACGTCGTGAGCGGCCCCAAGCCCACCTCCGTCCCCGTCGTGCCCCCGCCGTCCAACGCCTCCGCCACCGCCTTCGGCGTCGTCAACATGATCGACAACCCCCTGACCCTCCTCCCCGACATCGGGTCCGAGCTCGTCGGCCGCGCCCAGGGCCTGTACTCCTCGGCGTCGCAGGAGGAGGTGGCGCTGCTGATGATCATGAACTTCGCCTTCGTGTCGGGGAAGTACAACGGCAGCGGCATCACCGTGCTGGGGCGGAACCCGGTGTTCCACAAGGTGCGGGAGATGCCGGTGATCGCCGGCACCGGGCTGTTCCGGTTCGCCCGCGGGTACGCCCAGGTGAGCACCCACACGCTCGACATGAAGACCGGCGACGCCGTCGTGGAGTACAACGTCTACGTGCTGCACTATTGACGTCCGGTGATATGCATGATGATCGATTTGTTTACTTTTCGGGGCCCTTTTCTTATCCCTTTTTGCTTTCTCTTTCGATGGTTGCCAGCTTTTCTCCATTATGATTCTGGGAATTCTAGAGATAGCAATCATGGAGGCCACCAGTGACTCTAGGGTTTTGCTCTTGTGGTCCACAGCGAAATGGGGTTGGTCGGGTGGAATAGTATTCACTTGTTTTACTGGGTTGTCAATAATGCAGTATCCGACACAGAATTTTACCGTCTTCCATTCCAACTACTTAAGCTTGGATAATATATTTCCTATATGCAATCTTTATGTGTACTAACATTGGTCGACGAAATTGATTTAGGGAAAATTATTGAAATAGTCATAAATCTATTGTAATCGTGTCAATTCAATCCTAAACCTTTTTTTTTTTGTCAATTCAGTCCTAAACTTTTTGTATTTGTACCAATTCAATCCATCCGGTCAATTTTGGCCGGCCGGCGCTGACGTGGACGCCGGCCGACCCCGACGCGGATGCCAGCCGGCGCCGGCTCTCTGGCTGACGCTGACGTGGCAAATTTTTTTTTTTTCGAATTTTTATTATTATTTTATTATTTTTCTCTTTTTTTTCCTTTTTCTTCTTCCGTTGGCCGGTCCACCGGCAACCGGCCAGGGGAGGTCGCCGGCCACTGGGGAGGCTCTCCCTCGCCGGATGGCAAGCCTTGACCTCGTCGTCGCAAGCGAGGTCGGCCGAGGAGCGGCCATGGCGAGGCTGCTCGGCCTCCCCCAGATCTGGAGGGCCGGATGAAGTGAAAATTATATCGACTGGATATTACTTTGTACGTAAACTAAATAATTCGAGTATATACATGACCAGGGATGGACGTAAACTCGTAACCTTCCGAGGATAGGGTGATAAGAAAACTTGAACGAGCATATCAGCCTGCTCATCTTTCTTTCAACTACATCATTCTTCTATGAAAAGGCATGATAACTCTGCGAGCGCGTCAAAGACACTCGTAAATGATTAGTGTAAGAATTGCGAACTAGTCAGGTATCAGTCCTTTTGGAGCAGAACGATGTACTACCCACGAAGTTTAGGGGGTTTTGTGTAAATTTTATTAGAGAGAGAGAGAGAGCTTATGGGTGCACAAGGAATTATCCCTCATATTTCACGGTAAGGAAACATGAGAACTCTTCTCGTGGATGAGTGACAATCTAGCAAATAGAGTTGGAGGAAGGAAATCGGTCGAGAAGGAGAGAAATAATTTTCTTCCTCTTTCAAATGAACACAATACCTTAGGAATGAGACACACCATATATCTTCACCAAAGATGTATGTCGTTACTTATGGAAAAACAATAAAAACAAAAAAAGGAACCTTCGTCATTGCACATTCCATGAAAATTCCATTTGGTGTGTTCTTTGGTCACAAATCATCGCTTGCTTTGGTTTTACACGTCATTGATTACGAAATTCATAGGAAAGTCCTTAAAAAAAGAACATAGTGGATTAGGTAGAAATGGAATGATTAGCAACTTGTGTTCCTATGAAGAACTTTGATGTCCAAACAGAACGCCTAATCTCTAGGATCGACCCGTGTTGACGCAAATGCAATGCATCCACAAACTAAGAGACAACGATGAGGTAATTCTGTCAATATACAAAGATTAATGCAGGGAGAGATAAAGGGCTCGTATTGTAACCCTCATTAATATTCTAGAAAGTCCAAATGCTATCTCATCCAATGCCTTCGCCTTGGGTGGTCAACGGTCAACCTCGCTGAATCTTATTCCCCAAGAAATAACAGAGCAATTTCAAAACCAATAAGCCCCCTCATAGAAGCCTCTAGAGCCCCCTCATTAGCATTTCCAAATTGACCTTCTATTCATTTGAAACCTCCTTTAAAAACTTTAGGCATCCCTCGTGTTATGCATCCCCTGCTCTTTACCTCCTAGAGACACAAGGAAAGCCAAACCGAGGGAAAAAGCATAGCCATTTTTTGGGGACTTGGACACAAATGGGTACTTTGGTGGGTCATGTTGCACCTGGCCTTGGCTTCTTGCTCATTGGCCTATGGCACCTCTTCAACCACACCAAGCTCCATGCCCTTCACCCAAGCTCCTACAAGTCCCCCCCATGGTTTCCCACCTCAAGATTTAGGTACTTGGAGCTCCTCTCGATCATGGCCGGCTGCTCGATGTCCGTGGCGATGGAGCTCTTCATCGGCCCTCGAGGTCACCAGCCCTTCGACTCGGACGGCACCATCCCGTCGAACCATCTCCACAACTTCGAGCACGCGGAGATCTCCCTCACCTTCTTCGTCTACGCGGGCTTCGCAATCCTCCTCGATCGGGTCCGCATCGGCCCCGAAGTTAAGCATGGCCTGACACAATTGCTGGCTGCAATGGCTTTTGGCCAGCAGCTCGTCCTTTTCCACCTCCACTCAGCTGACCACATGGGTGTGGAAGGCCAATACCACTTGCTCCTTCAAATTGTGATACTTGTTTCTCTTCTCGCCACTCTAATAGGAATTGGTCTTCCAAATAGCTTCTTGGTGAGCTTTGTGAGGTCAACCAGCATCTTCTTCCAAGGTGTTTGGCTCATTGTCATGGGATTCATGCTTTGGACACCAAAGCTTATGCCTAAAGGTTGTTTCATGAACTTGGAAGAAGGTCATCAGGTGGTCCGGTGCCAAACTGAAGAGGCCCTTCACCGGGCTAAATCCCTTGTGAATATCGAGTTTAGTTCATTCCTGATTTTGATATTGATCTTTGCGGTCTCTCTTTACTTGGTTATGGTTACAATATATGCCAGCGGCAATGTCAATTACCGGTCCCTTATTGAGGCGGATGAACTTGACGAGGACAGCGACGATGTCGAATCGCAAAGAACAAGCGGGCTTGTTGATGAGCAAAAGGGTTTCGTTCGTGTGGTGAAGTCCTATGCACCTTTCGACGTGGGAAGGTAGAGCAACGAATAGAAAGCAATTGGTGGTTTAATTGTTTGTACAAATTAGGTTGATGATAGGATCCCCCCAAAGATGCCTGAATTTGCCGCCTAGTGTTGTGTTGGCTTAATGAGGGCATGACTTTAGAAACAAGTGTGTGCTGGTGGGGGGAAAATGTTTACTTTAATTTATTCATTTGGTCTGAACCAATCACTTTGCATAGAGTAAGAGCGAGCTTGGCCTGATTGCACTCAGTCCGGATCTGAGGTGACTTGTTCCTGAAATTGGATGGCAAAACAAAGAAAGGGTGGTGCTCAATCGAGGTGATGCGGATGTTAAAAGATATTAAGATTGGTCTACTGAACTGATTTAGAGAGTGATGCGGCAAAATTGTGTCAGATGTTTGAATCCAACAAATCAAATCATCATTTCAAGTTTATCATCACTTCGTAAATTAATCTTGTGTACAATATCTATAATAATATGCCTGTAATTAGATCATCAACTTGATCACTGCCCACCAATTTAAATAGTCATTTACAATCTATCACTTCTATAATCTGCTCGCAAAAATTGGATCGGTTCATCAAAATGACCACTATCAGGGAAAAGTATTAAAACCCTCACCAGAGCCGGCAAGAGCGGCCCTTGCAAAAGGCCGTGAGGGCGACTCTCGCCCAGGTCGTAAGGGCGGCCACTGCCAAAGTCGGTGAGGGCAACCCTTGTCGGCCCTAACTTGTGGCCAGTTGCCGGCCATGGCCGAATACCAGCCACAAGCTAAAGGAAGGAGAAGGGAAAAAAAAAAAAAAAAAGGAGAAAAATCCTAAAAAAATTATTAAAAAATGTTCACGTTAGAATCGGTCGTGCCATGTAGGACACTCGCATTCACATCAGCAATTTCTGGCCTAAATTGGCCGAATGAACTAAATTGATACCAATGTAAAAAGGTTTAAAACTAAATTGATCCAATTGAAAGGTTTAGAACCGAATTGAAACTGTCACAGTAGATTTATGACTTCTTCTATACTTTTCCCCGCCGTTCAAACTGTAGGGACTAACGCTCAAACACCGTAGGTATTTTAGCCCTGGGAGTTCGTCTGTATTTTGGTCCTAGGAGTTGTTAGCGATTAACTTTTTTCATTACTTGAGACATAAACCAGGCCCATCTCATCATTCTCCTAGAGGCTCAAAATAATCTTTCCTTACAATCCCTGCATGTCTGATCACAATGATCCTCCTTCCAACTAGGCCGTCGTTCCCCTTCCTCTCTTATTTTTCCCCTTCATTAAGAAAAGAGGCCTTTATATTCAAGAAACATCAATCCTTCTTTTTTTCAGCTCATACAAGGACATCATCCTTGTACGAGCGAATTCTCTACCTGAACCAGCTTGTCCCTCCTGAAAAGGCAACAATCCGACGTACCTTGCCTTGAAATCGAGGGCGGGGAATACCCGAAGCAACATCGAGAGTTGAACTAACTTGAGAATGATTTCGGCCCTAGAACATCATGCGTCAAATCCAAATTTAGCAAGCATAATGAACTAGGACTCCCAACAGGAACGTTAAACTGAGAATCATTTTATGTTGCCATTGAGTTGGACAATGACATGGTGATGATGCATTCTTCTAAATCTGCGGCGGAGCGACAATTTGACATTTAAAATGTCAAGGGTAATTTGAACAATTTACAATTGGGGCCAGGCAAGTGCTATAAATCTTTTCCTGCCACAACCTGTCTTCAGTTTGCACTTTCCGTGCCTATCAACCTAAAATCTCAAAATCTGTTAACATCATGATGAACGGCCCAGCTTCCGATTGAAGTTGAGCTTTAGAAGACTGACAAAGAAATCAAGAGCAGTCATATATACTTTGTCTCGGCAACTCCAAGGAAACGGCCATAACCAAATGGCAATCATCAGATGGCTTGATCACATCTTCACAAAGTGAACATCATTCTGGCCAAATGCAGTACCACATCCAGGACATTTTCGATGGCGAATTTCTAAATTTCTTTGTATGCACTGATTGCAGAACAGGTGAAAGCATTTCACAATTACGACCTGTCAAAGTGAAAAGGCACAACCAGTTTTACTAGTACTACTAGCATATCGACAAAACTTAAGTGGAAACATGCCCAGACATTATTGATCAAAGTTCACAATCTAATTGATAACCAAAGTACAGTGAGCTAATATGCCAACTGACCTCCTTTGGCCGGTCGAGACACACACTGCACTTAAGCATTGCCCTGCAATCCTTTATTTCATCCTGGAGCCTCTTCACTGCAGCCTCTCCACTCTCAGCAGTCAATTCAGCAACCTTTTTATTACACTCCACAATCTCTTCCTCCAGCTTCTTCCGCTCCTCTCTGCTTCAATAACATTTGGCTCAGAGGTGGGGACAATTATGTGTAGTCATTTAATAGACACAGCAACCATCCATAATATCTACTAGATGACCTGCCTCAGACCACGAACAGGAAGTGCTTAAGCACACAAATTTTCCTACACTGTGTTTATTCCAACCAAAGAAGAGATCATGTGAAAGTGCTTTCTAATCTCCTGAGGAAAGTAAGTTCCCTTTAGTATAAAGGCTGAGGTACGATCATTTTAGGAGAAAGCCTCCCACAAATTTTACTGGCTAGGTTATCACCATATGTCACTTCCTGGGCCGGACTCAGTTTTGACAACCAGTGGACACCAGCACCGGCAGGACAGCAAATGGTAACCACAGCTGATAGGAGGAAGGCATCGCCAACACCCTATATACACACTAATTATTCGTAGAACCGTATGTTCATTGATTGACCATGATCGCTGCAAAAATGCATTGTTTCATCACAATGCAATCAGAATCCAATCTATGATGCATAAACCAAGCTTAGACATTGTCATATACATATAAGTGAGCCCTCTTCTGGTTTACAGATATCACCTTTCATTGTCTAGTTTCATCTGAATCTCACTCAGATCCCATTGTAACTGGTCATATTCCTTCTCAGACGAAGCAAACACAGATTTAAGCCACTTTAACTCCTTCTCAGCATCACCTAATTCTGACTTCACACCTTCCAGGCTAATTGCAAAGTGCCTATCTTCTTGACTAGATTTCATTGCCTCCGACAGAAGAACCTTCATCTGCAATATGCTTAGAAACATCAGTAAAAGATACTGGCAGAAGTAATGCGTCTAGAAAAACTCACCTGCTCTTCACCATGAGAAATCTTCAACTTCAAAGATTCAACTGACGAGTTAACCTGTTCAAGTTCCTTAACTAATGCCTGTTTTTCTGAGAGTAAAGAGTTCTGAGCCTGCTTTGTCTTCACACTGTCTGAAACCAGCTGCATTACAGATCAGGAGACAGGTTTAAAGATTGGCAAAATCCAAGCTGAAAAACTCAAAGCACTGTAATGAAACTGGAAAAGTACCCAAGACAAGCTGTTGAGAAGGTCCAAATACAAACCTTAATATTATAGTCATCCCTTTCAGTCACTTGCTGCAACAAATGCTGATTCTGCGTCTGCATATCTTCATATGCTTGACCTATGGTCTGTTGAGCAGATAATCTCGTCTCATAATTTAGAAAATGATTATAGAACTCATGAAAGAAAGGTGGGAGTAAGCAAGCAAGGAGACGGCAAGAAGAGAGGCATTGAGGTTTTAGCCAGAAAAGAAAAGACATCCTCTATAAACAGAGAAAAGATTACACTAAAACCACCTCAATCTCAGATATATATGCCTCTGCCTCTGCATCTTTTATCTTAATCGCTTCAGCAAGCTCAGAAGCATCCCTGCGAGGAATAATATGACAACAAAGTTAAGTCATACCTCCATCATGCATGCACAGGGATATTTTCCAAATCCAAAACTTAAATGAGGGAGAAGAGTCTTTGTCCCCCCTTCCTCTTTTTGGTGTGAGTTGAAAGGATCTGGGAGTAAAGAGGGAGAGGGGAGGGCATTGTCCATTCATCCAGGGAAAACACATCCCAGACAGCCATGATGTAACTACAGGCCTAAGTCGAATGTTTTTGGTCAATCACCAAAAAAAAAATTTACAAGCAAGGTTGAGTAAGAGAGAAGGATAAAAGACTGGAGAGATTGACAAAATTTGCAGGGAAAAAGACACAGAGTCATGTCATCATGCACGCACGCGCAGAGAAGCAAAAGGCTAGAAAACTGGATACTTGAAGACTAGGGGGTTCTGTCATGTCGAAATCATCTTTGTATACTCCAAACAAATCTAGGCCATCAATTTCCTATGCACATGCCTACAGAACATTATCTATGTCCATGGAAGAGCTCCAAGCAGTGGATTAGATGCATATTTACTCCGGTGAGACCTTGTGAGCTGTCAAATTTATACAGGACTACAAAGAGAACTTTCAGTTTTTTCTCATTTCAAAAAACAACACCCCCATCCCTAGACCAGACATCTAGCTAGTTCTGTATAATTGGTGGATGAGAAACTGTATACAAGTTGCATACGTTTGTGCAATACAAAGACGTCTATTCAGTTAAGAAACCTATCCGTTTTGCTGATATAATTCGCTTAAATTTTTTCCAGCATCTAGAAGTGTGGCTCTTGAAAGTTAAACTGCTCTATATATCGGCCTCTAGAATTCAACAAAAAAAGTGGTGGAAGGGCTGTCATATAAAGATCTACTATTCAACTATCAATGTGGTGTTTAATTAGCAGGTCCGGAATTAGATTGGACAGCCTGACAAAAAAGCGAATTAGTGGTTGTGGAAAGGTCTGAACATACTTTCTATACAAACTCAAGAGAGTCTCTACGTCCTCGGTGTCCAAGAACAATTCGAGGATAAACAAGCAACAAAAAACAAAGACAAGTACATTACCCAAAAAAAAAAAAAAACAAAGACAAGTGGTACACACTTAAATAACACTCATAAAAAGATCATTCAAAGAGCATGATCCCACTAGACAAAAGAAATATATGACCATCAACCATCTATCTTTCTCGTCATTTGAGCCTAGTCATTTTGCAATTGTGAAAAATCACTAGAAGACAGTATGTCCAAGCTACACCCATCACTTACCCCACTACCACAAAACAGAGTCCATCTAAAAATGCAGGGAAGTCCAAGGAAAGGAAAAAGGTAAAACAATTACTGAGCACTAGCATTGCAATGGAGAGGGTGACAAGAACTAACCTCTCAGATGCATCCAGTTTGGCCCTCAACTCTGCTATTTCAGCTTCAGCAGCAGAAAGCCTTTGTTGACAAGCAACTTCTGCTTCATTGGCAGCTTTAACTCTCAGCTCTAGACTATGTTCCTCTAAAGCATTTTTAAGGACTTCAGCTTGTGATAGAGCTCTGCGTTCTGATTCTCTGATATCTGCAATATCTCTGAATCCACAAAAACGTTATTATGAGTCTTAATTGTATGACGCAACGATAACAGAAAAATGAGCCACCAGGGCACGATGACTTATTAGTATACTCCCATGTCATGCAAATCAAGCAATCTCCAGTTCCTTTGCGCAGTCATCAAGAAAGGCATGCTAACCAAAAATCTTTCTAAACAAAGTTACTTCTTGAGATACTTTAATAAGAGAACGATCACAAAAGGACTCATTTAATCGCACTCAGCACTCGGAGGAAACATAAGTACGCATAGCAAAAGATAGAAATTTTATAGGCATAGAGCATCCGTGTTGGATTCCTTTCGATGGTGTAAGAGCAGATGTCCATTTCTAGTGAAATAATAAGCATGAACAACCATGAGCTCTTGATTGCTTTATTTTCAAGAAAAGAAGATTCAAGTAGTGTCAGTATCAGGGCCAAACTCCATAACAAAATAACAGATTCTCATCATTTACAAAAAGAAGAGGAATAAGCAACAATCAGCTCATTACAGTTTTGCTATTTTTAGAAAATGAGATTGAATTACACAAAACAAGGTGGTGCCTTCCTATGTTCATTAGACCATTTGACAAACACGAGTCCACCATTTTTAAGAAATCATTCAAATCTTAAGACCCTTTTAATGCTCGAACCAAAAATCAACCATTAAAAAACCATTGGTTTATTTCCACACAATTACATAAAGTAGGTTCACTTTCTAGTGTACCGACTGACAACAACAAAGAGATGAGAAAATGCAAAACCCAAGGTAAGATTCATATGGATCCTTAACAAAAGATAGACTAATCTTGCAAAAGCTTCAGACTGCAACTATCATCTCAGATATGGTTTTGTGCATGATTTAGAAAACCGTGCATTGCAGCAGTAATAAGTGAATTGCAATCTCAAACAAAAAGTGTATATTTTCCACATGATCTCAGAAACGATCACATTATAACCTTAGAGCCAGTTTACTTTGAGTAAACGCAATGAGTTTGTGAAGAATCTCACAATTTCAAACCTGATATCTCCCTTCAAGACAATAGAGGAAAAAAAATTTGAAGAACCAAAATCAAAAGTACCATGAAAACTACCTACCGCAGTTTCACATGAAGATATGGGCAAGTCAGTATTCAAGAAAACGCGCTTGGTAAATTTTCAAGACAGACCATTTCTAGCAACTGTGAACTAGTTTACAACGATAGGAACCTTTATAGAGGAATATTGATAATTAAGAACTATCAAAACTTGAGATTTATTTAATATGCAAAAATCAATTGTAGTTTCCGAGAGCTTAAGGTTGAACCAAAGTGCTTTTGTAACATGGCATCAGAGCACACCCAAATCCTAACACTCCCACTTACTATAACTGAATCTATTTTCTTTTTACAGTGCTTCTGCCTCCGGCTGTTTGTCTAAAGTGCTTACATCCCCATCTCTCCTCGTGTAAGGTCCAACTTACAAGTGAGGGCGTAATAACGAGAATTGATAAAAATTGGCGCTAAAATTGAGTTTTTGAGATAAATAGTCCTCTAACAACAGTCAACCAGAAGATCTCTTAACCTGACAGCACAGAATGTGTACAATATCTCAGCAAAATAACAATGGTAGGTCCAATTTTTTTAAGGCCTTATTAACTTCTCGTCATATCATATATAACCAATTAATGAGGGCTAAAAAGTATGGAGAAAGCCAGAGTAGATACTCCTTGGGGATTTTATCCTGATCAAAGCAATTTTAAAAGTCAAGTACAATAATGGCAGGTTCAAGAAAGAATCTCAAAAGCAAGAAAGTGTGCTAGAGAAAATATGAGCACAGAGCAAAAGCTAAAAGTAGGAGCTAGATGTGCAGACAAAATGGAGACTCATCAGGGAACTACCTAGATAAATTTAGCAACTGTTGAGGCAATCACAGTAGCCAGTGTTCATAAATGCGAGTAAATTTGACAGAGCATTGCGGGCCAAAAGGAAGAAATAAAGCATTTGAATATCATAAAGCAACTTGAAAGTATCAGAATGCAGCAAGCTGCAACTCTATCTAAGAAAAGGGAACATCCATTCTCTATCAATCCATAGTCAGCTTTATCCACTTACCTGTTGTCATAACTCTCATTTCCATACAAATCCAGAAAGATCTGAAGTTCCAGTTTTTCCTTCTGTAGCTTCTCAATCTGCAATGGATCATAATGCTTCAAATAACCACTTCAGGCTCACTAAAATAGCTTCATGTTGTATATTTATCATAATAATGATGTCTTATGAATATTTAAAGGAGGAAATAGATTACCAATTCTTTGATGGACTTGATTTCCTCCTTCTGTTTAGTACATCGGTCTGCTAACCTCTTTCGCTCATCAGACTACACCAAATAATAAAGCAGTCAAAGACCCAATGAAAGCTACTCTAGAGACAAAAGATTTAGACTCTCGAAAATTTGATCACTGAGACCCTCCCTCCCTCGCACGTTTGCATATGTAACATGCAAAGATATTCCCATCCCCAGTTCTGTTTCACAAGAAATGGCTCCTTATATGGAATCTGAATGATTCATAGAAAAAGCTTCGTCACAACCACCAAACATTTGCAGTCATCTCCTCCACTTGGATTAGCTGATAAAGCTGATAAAAATGTCTTCCCACACCTCTCTCTCACATAAGTTACAATCAAGTTAAATTAGACCATAAAAAAATGAGAAATAAACATTATTGGTTTGAGGAATAACTGAGCCAGTAGTACAGAGAGAGGTGAGAAAAGGACTGACAAACCAAAGGCAGTTAAATATTATAACAGTAGGCTATGAAACAAAAATGTGGCATGTCGTATAAGTTTTCTCACACAAAAATAGCAATCCTTGTTAATAATCTGGGGGAAGAGAAAGGAAACGTCTGTCAAGTGGGAGCGTGATAGAACAGCAAATGTTTAATCAAGAACACAAAAAGAGATGGACGCAAGATTTTGCAGTATCCTCTTAGTGCTCAGAATTTGTTCAAAGAAATCTGCTAGTTCAGATCCAGCAGGTGTTAGCGACCAAAAAAAAAGATTCAGCAGGGGTTCCAAACACACAACACACACAAACACTTCCTCTGAAGCACACAAAACAGCAGTAATGAAAGCATAATGCATCTCATTTTGAAAAATTTGTATGCATAATATGTACCTATAAATCATCAGCTAGAGATTTGCGCACATGCGACAATAAACTGCGTCGCACATACATGTGATCCTGATTATCTGTTCTAGGCGTAAGTGAATATATTATAAGGAAAAATGCACCAGTCTAAGTTTTCTGCAAATTTCAGATTTGCAGTCCATGGATTCAAGTCACTCAAGGTTAGAGAAAATTTTGTTTCAATAAGCACCCACGTGATATAAGAATTGAGGAAATTTGTACAATTCTCTCCAACTAGTCTTGTCAATGGGTGGTCGTGTGTGCAGTTCTATTGTATTAGGGGGCATTTTGGTGAGGCAACCCATGCCAATCCCTTCATTGTTTGGAAAAAAGGACAAAGTCTTCTCGGATGATGCTACATCACGAAATAACATGTTGAATAAATATATAGATGAAGAAAAGAATATCCAAAGCTAATCCTCAGGACAATAATAAAAATGAATTAAGATCCATAGTGGGTCAAACGAGGACCAACAGCGCAAAAATCAATGTATAGGTCGATATGGCAAACAACATCACATGAAAGCTTGCAATTCCATGCAAGAGTACCATTGTAGTTGGCAATAAGAGAGAAGTTTGTCAATAGAGTTTGGAGTGCGCAGTTTGGCAGAGCTCACAGGCGAGAGAGAAAGAGAGAGAGAGAGAGAGAGAGAGAGAGAGAGAGCTGTGTCTTGTAAATGTAAATGACATCCATCTTTCTGGTGAGCACCTTCATTTCATGGAGTCCCTCTTGCATAATAATTGGCAACACCTTTGCATTTGTTACCATTTATGGAAATTTTTCTACTTGTCTAAAGAATGAGTCCAACACAAAATTATCCAAGAGCAGCATTACACGAACCAATGACACAAATCATAAACTAAATTGAAGTGATTATTACTCTCAGTGCTAGAATACCTTAATAGTTATAGAAGCTTTTAGTGACTGGGTTTTTTCACGTAGCAATAGTGCTTCATGAGCTGTATCTTTCCATCGGTTCAACTGTACTTCCATCATTCCCATTTCCCTAGACAAAGCAGACACCATTACACGAAACTCCGATTTGATGTCTTTTCTCCCTTCAAAAAATGATAATGACTTCATTAGTTAGATGCCAGGCATAGCACCAAACCAAAAAAACAAAACCAGATGTCAATTATATGAACCTGAATCTTGATTAGCTTCTTCCATTTTAATCTCAAGATCATTTTTCTCACTAATGCACTTCTGCAGTTGAAGCTCCAGATCTCCAAGCCTAGACTCGGTATCAATAGCATTTCTAGCAGCATCTGTTGACTCTAATTTAGCATTCAGTTCCTTCTCTCTTCTTATGACAAAGGACCTGTCAGCCTGAAACTACACTTTTCAGAGGCCTCCAAGAAGAAAATTCATAAAACAAAGTACAACTGAAAAAACTAAAACTAAAGCAGTTTTACCTGCAATGAATCAGTTAATGTTTTGTAGCGCTCCACTTCAGCATTGAAATGCTGGAGCTGATCATTTACCAAAGTGTAAAATCGAGACGAAAGGACATATTTTTCATCTTTCAACTCACTCTGCAAGACCACAAAGCCAAGGAACAATTTGTCATATGAAAATATAAGGAGTTTTGATATGCCACTAGTAGTAAAAAGATATCAAGCACCCAGAAACAATTTTCACAATACGTAATTACACACCTGAACATCTTGCAATTGTTTTGACAAAGTTGCATTGTACTCCTGTGCATCTTGAAGCTCAGAAAGTCGATCAGCTGCCAAAATCTTTGGAACAATAAACGAGTGAGAGAGAATATAAGTAGGTAGATGGAACAAATCAAAATTTTAAAAATTTATTAGACCTTTTTTTCTTCAATGGAATCCTTTAATTCCCGCAAACAGAGCATCTTATCTCCCGGCTTTTCAGGTGATGAATTTCCATGTACAGAACCTGCAGCAGGGATATGAGCTCCAGAGGCAACATCCATTTGCATTCTTAGATTGATAAGCTTCCTTCTACTTTCTTCAAGCACTGCCATGCTCTCTTCCAGCTCACCTTGTCATGAACAAAAACTGTAAACAGTCAAGAGTGACATATTGCCATTGCAACTAGCTGAATAATGGCAATGCAAACTATCTATTTCCGTGCATTCTTATTGATCAGTAGACAGAAAGGGATACTAATAACATTCATGAAAACAATCACTTTCCCCGTAAAAAATCTCAAAAACCTTCAAGGCGTTTAATCTCAGACGCATCTTCTGAATGACTTCTAACGTAGATTTGAATGTCTTCAGCGTATTCTTTATGCTTGAGGTGGAGAACATCTATGGCTTCATGCAGACTTTTAGCCTCCTCTTTCATCATTTTATCGATCTCCAACAACAGTACTGTAGGACAACACCATGTAATACCGATTGTCAAGCAGGATATAGACAAATCTGAAGGTTTGTCCAAAACTCAAAAAGGATATGACACGTGAGACAAAATTTCACATGAGATTTACTCATAATTTCATAACATATAGAGAGTTTCTCCAACCTTCTGCAGAAACCCTTGCCTGCAAATTTTGTGATATGGTCATAGTTTTCGAACTCTCAGCTCCAATAGTATCTTCCAGGAGTTTCATCAACTCAAAAGTCGATGACTTACGCAAAGCAAGAGCTTCTTCAACAAATTCAATAATTCCATCACCAGAAGTGCTTGCGATAGAATCTGTCTGTAGCAGTCTACACAAAAAAATGTCCTCAGGCGGAGATGACGGTATGCAACCTAAGAAAATCCCAAGTCAATCTACATCATGCGATGTTGAGAGGTTTAGTTAAGTCACTGCAGTATATGAACATGATTAATTATTAAATGCTGATTAAACATGACATTTTCAAAGTTCCATGCAAGCAAGGAACCTGCTTAAGCATACCACGGGAATCCTCCACAGCAACCAATATCTTCAAAGCATCTTGAGCTCCTCCTGCTCGTGCTCCCAAAAGGACTAAATCATCAACCAACTACATATCGGTAAAAAAGAAATAAGTAATCATTGATTTAACAGAAGAGAACAGATTCTCAGGATAACAAATGACGACTTTGCACAATCTCCACATAAATGACGTGAACTATTAAAGCTGACCTGATTCCATCGTTGGTTCACTTTAATTAATGTGTCATCATAAGAAGTTTGCTTCTTCCTTAGTCCTTTAATATTAGCTTCAAGATCATGCAACTCGTGCTTTTGTATGTCCAATTGTTGCACGAGTTTTTGGTTCTCATAATGGAGAACGGATGCATCAACCTGTGGATCAAATTTTGCTCATCACATCACATAAGGTGTCAAAATAATAAACAAAGAACTCACATAATTAGTAGCATTAAGAAGCATCAGAGTCATCCACTAAAATGACAATCAAGCGTGTGAACAACCATAACCAATATAGAAGCCCAGATGAGAAGGGGAAGAACAATATGACTAAAAGAATAGAACCTTCTCTGGTTGCTACATTGTATCTCGTCTGTAATCCATGGTTTTGCAATCTTATCAAACAGACTGGGATTCTAATCACAATGGCTGAGGAGGAGCCATTGGGTATGGTAAGGCGTATAGGCTTTGGAGAGAAGAAAGTTGCTTGATATGATCCATGCCATCTAAATTCATAACAGAAAACAACGAAGATTAACTTCTAGTACCCCTACTACAAGGGAGATCTTCATATTCTGGATTTTTTTATCAGAGTGGAATCAGAGAGCTCATGGACAATAAAGAACGCACTTGAATTAGCGTAGGAAAACTCGTTTTAGAACGTTTTCTTCCTTTTGGTATTGTGGAAAGTACAACTTTAATGTACATATTGTACAAGATAGTTTTTATGTTGGCTTGTACAAGAGGTCTCCGCTTCTTCATTAGGAGCTTTCTAATGTATGTCTGCACCACCTTGGTGCCCTTAACCAGACTTTTATCTACGAAAAAGAAAGGTAAAAGGCACTGAGAAATAGAGTTACATAGGTGTAAATCATACAAGAAATTCAGTTTTTATTGACTATTGACTTGATCTGCTTCTTGTTTATCATATTTTTAATTCTTTCCATGACAAGGAGGGGCATTAATACTAAAACAAAGGTCCAGTACCCAAATAAGAGTTCAATTTTATTCTTGGCTCTAAAGCTAATGCCGCTCCGCTAATGATAGCCATGGCAGGTCAAAGCTAGTTGTCATGTCGAACTGATCTACATACGTCGTTCGAGGCTTGGATGCTCAAGTTGCATGGGGAATGCTACAACTGGTCGTGATGATGCAATTCGACATTTTGCGACAATCTACCAAGGGAAGGTTGGCCTAGTGTTCCCCCAGGTGCCACATAAGCTTGTCCTCGGCCGGGAAAATATAGGCCCATGACACTGGCCTCTAGCTAGTAGCTACATATACTTCTATTAGTAGAAATCTCCGAACAAGGCAGCCTAAAGGCATCACCCTTTCCTTTCACTCATTCCTGCATATTTTCATCTGCAAGGGTCAAAATGAGGGTCTAGAAAGGTTTAGAGATTGTAAGGATCTGGTCATGTTGAAAAGAACTGACTAAGGCTTCAAAATAGGTGTGGTCTACATTGATGCTAGTTTGCTTCTCCAACAAAGCATATCCACATGAAAGGCAGAGAATCTAACAAGTAGCTTAACACATGTTTTCCATAAATTTCTAATTCATATGAATTGACACAGCAACATAGTTAAATGCCTATTGACGTAACAGAGCAACTCAACCACATAAGTACTGCTCTTATCAAGCTCAACATTTCGGACTGTCGTGTGTGAGTCGCTGCTACTTTCACGATACTGTTAAGCTCATTCTCTTCAATTTCACGTCCCCTCTGAATGCCAAAATCTCTTATCCTGCTATATATGAATCTCCTTCCTTGTCAAGTAGCTAGCCTAAGAAGACTAGAAAATGGTCACTAGTTGCATTCCATAAGCTCAATATGACGAGGGGTTAGTCATGGATCGCACCAATCTTGCCCATCGAGGACTCAATCTCAGGGGCTAGCTGATTGAGCGTGCAACTTTCCACATTACAAAACTACCATACTTTTCCAATGAAGAACGTACAAAAGCTTCACCGCTCCTAACCATCCATCGAACTCGAACTTCACCTGTTAAACTCCTTTAGTATATAAGCAATCAGCAATGCTGATAATGACAGATGAAAGTCCCCACTAAGCCAAATGAACCGGGAATCTGAATTTGTTCAATAAAAATTCCTATCATAACTAAACACAAAAAAACAATCTTGCCTCATCAAAGTGAGCTCAACTAGGCCAAAACAGCTCTTTCTTTGCACCAACAACGCCATACAGACAAAGAAATCGCCGATCATCGCCATTTCATTCGCTCGTGAAGCTTTGCAGCAATGACGGAGAGAGACACTTACGGTGCGGTTATCGGCAGGAGAAGCGATCGGCTGAGGCCTCCTCCTCTCCGGCTCTTCAGCTTCTGGATTTTCCATTCGGCTGGAGTTTCGCTCGAACGGAACCCGCGGCGGCGAGCGAGCTCTGGTTCAAGCCCTAAATAAGGAGGAGGAGGAGGAGGAGGAGGAGGAGGAGGGGCAGGGCGATCCGGCTCGGACACGGAGGAGCTCGAAGCCCGGAACCGTCGGAGCGGCGAGTCGCGGCGGCTGTCCGCCACCGGTCAGTGGCGCCCGCCGTCGGCCGGTCCGTCGCTGGGGAGGGGCAGCGGTGGAGGAAAGAGGGAGCGGCGGAAGCGCAGAGCACACGGCCTTGCCGATGAAGACTAAACTCATTTCTGGGTTTTATTCAGTTATTTTCTCTTATTTACCCACGAAATTTTTTTTTTGTATTTTTCTTATAGTTCTTTAATTTTTTTTATTTTTTTCTTATAGTTCTTGGATATAAAAAATTGAATAATTTCTGAAAAAATTGTCCAATTAATTTTTTAGTTATTCACTAGCACCCGGTGGAGCTGCGGTGGCGGCCTCGCTCAATGGGCGATTGAAGTTTCATTGGGACATTAAATCGAATATCGCAGTAATTAAGGAGATAGATTACGACCTATCTGACACATTTAATTTTATTCAAAAAATAATCATGAACGTGTCACTTTTTTTTTTGGGTAAAATCTCCTAAACCCGAAAAAGATCCTTGTCTTTTATTATATTGGGAAAATTTCGAAAATCAACCTTGATCATGTGTACAAATTGTTTTGTCCAAAGACACCTTGTTGTTTTCATATATGTGAGTGAAGTAAGGCTTCGAACATCACAAAATGGGAAATGCTTTACTCCCCCTAATAAGTTTTCACTAGGTTGTAATCACTGATTAACGCCTCGAACTGAAGTATTAATGTACATGTAATGTTTGAAAAATGACGTGAATAAAATATGAATCAATACAAGGAAGAATTTACTAATGTTGAATTTATACATAATGGGTCAGCATTAATGAATTTTACCCTTGACCCTTAATAATTACATTAAAGCATGAGATATTTTGTACTTTTCAAAATATTATTATAGAAGTATTTAGATACTAGGGCACATTAAAGATGCATCGGACATTTTCATAAAATACAGGGACTAAATTGAACATGTACAAAAAAAATTTAAGGATTACATTGAACAAATTAAAAGTTAAAGGATCATATTGCACTTTGAATAAAATTCGGGGATCACATTAAGCAAATTAAAAATTCACAAACCATACTGCAAATTAGACCAATATTCAAAAACCATTTACGTCATTATCCCTCCGTCTCAAATAAGTAATTCTCTATTACATCACATGAGAAATGGAAACTTAATAGAGTAACAAAGAATAAGACATCGTCCCACATGATCAATTGTCTAAATTTTGCTTACAATGTACACTATAACGTCACAATATTCTTGGAAAAACTTTTAATTCCAGGCGCACATTAAAATAAGCAAAATATTTACATCGAATTCACTAGTATATAGTTTGAGATTTTCAAAACTTTTGCTCATAGATTAACCCAAAAAACCTAATGTAATAAATTTTTGTGAAAGAGAGATATACTGGAAAAAGAAAAGAAAAGGCAAAAAATTACCCTACCAGACCCTCCACATTAGTTGCCATGTATCAAGGAGCTGTAGGATCAAAACCCTCCTGTATATATAAAAAGAAGCTTATATGAATGGTGTACCTTAAGGGTATAGAGTATCACATGGTCCACCTAATGCCTGCCTCAGAAAAGAGGGGGAAAGGGGGAGACAGAGAAAACTACAAGTAACATGATAGCTCCAATCAAATCTACTGCCAGCCTCTATTTTCTCCATTGAAGGCACATTCCCTACTTATAACCAGTCATTCAAAATATACTCTCATTGATCAGAGTACACTGGGGGGAGATTCGAAACACCAGTGAATACAAAAGTACAATGGAAGAGTCCAGCAGTTAAATTGTCAAGCGAAAATGAGTACAATTCAACACTGTAATGATGCATCTCCCTGCTTTCACAATTGATGTCCTCCCAGTATCTCAGCAATTCACCGAAAGAGAAACTCCTTCATTTCACCCCAACAGAGGCCATCAAGTCCTCGTACTCGGGGTCATTCTCCTGTCTCTTTCCGATCACCAGATTCCCTCCATGCTGCTGAGGTGCATTGGAAGCCGAGGACGGGGAAAACGGATCGTAGATTTGCCTCCCACCAGGGCCTAGGGCCGGTCTGCCAGGAAAGGCAGATGGACTGTGAATAAAGTGGTGTCTCGGCAGTTGATTCATTTGACCATGGAAGGTCCTCTGAACATCAATTAGATTGCCAGGCCTGGAGGGAAAACCGCCAGCAAGGTCGGGTAGTTGGGCCACTGGATTCATGTTCCTTGGCCCCATCTGGGGTACTGGTGTGGGACCCACCACTGGAAACGAGGGAAATCTCGATGGGTCTCCTGGAAAGGGAATCGGGGAAGGGCCACCTTGAGGTCGAGCCATCTGCGCTCCCATTGATGGCCTTAGGAGGACAGGCGTGATAGGTTGAGGATCATGTATAGGCGGGCGGAAAGAAGTCGGTTGAGGTACAATAGTTTGTGCGCCTGGCCCAGAAAAGGTCTGTGAGGCTTGCGGCTGCTGAGGCTGGAAAGTGAAATCCCCAAAATTTGGACGATGCGGACTTGGAGCGGCATTAGCTGGTGATCTAATGGGGGTAAAATTGGGTATATTTCCAGTGAAAGTACTTGGGGCCGACTGAAAAGACAGGGCAGGTGATCCTGACGGCACTGGTGAAGGGGTTGGCAGAGATCCTGGAAAAGGGTTCATTGTCACACGAGGGGCAAGTGCCCCTTGCGTGCTGTTTGCAGATTGGATTGGCATCGGTGGTGGTATAGAAGAGAACATAGGGACACCAGCAGGACGACTCCCAGCCATTGAATGTGGAGTTGATTGACCAGATGGGTAGCTTGGACCTGCAATCAAGCTTGTGCTCCCTGCTGAAGCATTTGCAATTGGTGCCGAAGAAGCAATGTTTGGTTGTAGGCTGATGGATGTGGGCGCTGAGGGTGGACCCACCTGCATCATATTGCCAGGGCCCCCAGCTGGCAGTAAGAGCCGATCTGATTGTGGTCCTGCTGTAGCATTTGCTGTGAGTTGAGGAAATGAGGGTATTGCTGGTGGTCTGGTTTGTTGGGATTGGCTCACAGAAAAAGGGATAGGAGCTGAATGAACTGGTGGAGCCGGTGATGAAGCCTGTGGAAATGAAGGAAAATTTCTTGGTGGAAAGCCAATACCAGAAGGATGCATCATTACTGAATTTTGCATATATTGAGAGGATGGATTTTGTCTTGGTGGGATCAGAGATGGATTCTGAGATAAGGAGTTAAATGCAGCTAGAGGAGCCGGTCGAGGTCCAAAGAGAGAAGGCATTTGATGGCCATGACTATTCAGACTTGGTGCTGAAGCATTTGGTGATGGAATGAAACCAGGAAATTGATTTGCTGGAGCATTGGGGGGAGCGTTGGCAGACCATGGATTTGAATATTGAAACTGAACCTGCTGAGTCTGTGAGGAACCCATAAAATCTTCAAGGTGTCTCTGACTTGTTACTGAAAAAGCGTCCACAGAAGATGAGTTTAAATAACTGAGGACATTCTTGCTCTCAGCCGGACTTGAAGCAGATGTTGTAGAAGCAGCAGCAAGATTACCCTACAGACAAAGGAATGGCAGAGCACATATGATATGGAAAGGTAAAGCTTCACATACTGAACAACAAGGATCGTAAATAAATATAAAAAGAAATGAAACTCACAGATACAGATGTTACTAGCAATTCAATGACGGACACTGCTGCATCAACTTTATCAAATGTATCAGCAGATATATGGACATTTATTTCTTCATAAGAACCCTGGAAATCGCTTCCGTCCGCTGAAATTATTTCACCCTGGAGAAAAATGAAATAAGGCCATCATCAATGTGGCTCTGTCAAAACTAATATTAAATCTACAACTTCTATAATAATATGAGGTCCACCACCGCTACGATAAATATTACGGTACAAATCTTATTGATAAGACTGATAGTAATTCCAAACAACTCACCTTATCCCTGGTCCCAGACTTGACAGCATACACCTGTATCTTAGCTCCAGTTTCCTACATAAAGATTAACATGCACTTAGTTCCATTGATTTTACAAAACCTGAGAGATCCATTAATGTTCACACAGGGTAACATCAAATTCTCTTCTACCTTTTCTAGTCTCTTTCGATTATCACCTCCAGGCCCGAAGATCAAGCCAATGAAATTGTATCCAGGATATTCCTTTACCTGTCAAAGCAAGCTAACGCATGATCTAGGAGTTTGGCTTGAAAAATGGGACATTTTCTTATACTTTCTCTCAAATATTTAGGGACTTGTACTGCTCCAATCAGCTATTTGTAGGGGTGAACACCAGTCCCAGTCCAACCCGGGAACCAGACCAAACCGGCCAATTATGTGATTCTTGCCAAACCGGTTCGGTTCCCGGTTCCAATTTTTTTGAACCGGCACTGTTCAACACCTTAACTTTGGTCTTTTTTTTTTTTTTTTATCAAAGAGCCCTGAGTGGGTTATAAGAATCCATAAACTATAGGAAACTCCCACTAATCGATGTGGGATCTCACACTTGGGCTCCGTTTTGTTTTTTTTACTTTTAGTCATCTTAAAAAGTAAAAGGGCAGCATGTCGACTTCCTTGCAGATTGATGTGGGATCTCTATTTTGTGTTTTGTACTTTTAGTCATCCTGAAAAGGTGTTCCACATCAATCTATAAGGAAAATGACATGCTGCCTTTTTTACTTTTAAACCTTTTAGAGAACAAAAGGTGGACAGCTGTGCTTAGTCCCAGTTCCCGAACACTGGACCGGACCAGTCCTCATCAGTCCAGTTCCCGGTTCCCAAATTTTGGAACCCGGAGCCATAGGGTCGGTTCCCATTCCAGGCCAAGGACCAACCCACCTGGGAACCGATCAACCCTAGCTATTTGAAGCAGCAGTTTCATGTTTTAGCTTGGACAGTCCAAGTAGCATATATTGCACCAGCACTTAATGAAAAATGAGTAATCATTATTGCAAAGGGCCTCGGAACATCCCCTTCTGGCCAATGGCTTTGTGTTCAAGCGCTCGCACACTATATATATAACAGCAGCTTGGTTGAATGTATCGACAATGGCTGGAAAAAGGTGCACACCATACAAACTTACAGGAATGAGCACTCTGTCCTCTTTCAACAAGGGTTTATAATCAGGTGGTGCCTTGAAGCTTGCATTTAACTTGAGGATTTCACCTGTTACAAA